CTGCTGCCTACTTATACTCACGCTGTGATCAGCAGCAGCTGGATGCAATAATCGCATGCCAATGTGCATTGGCTCGTTTTGTTTACACTCGAAGTAGATTGGTCCCTCTAAGCGAGCTCCCAATTCGTCAGTCCTCCGACGTGACGTCGAGAGTGACCGACTGAAAGGGAACACATATTCACTATTAACTACGACTTTTCCCTTAATAAATTCCTAATTTGCTGCTTATTAATAGTTAGTAAAATAGTTGTTAAGTTTAGGTATTGGGTAGGATTAGGGATGTAGAACAAGGTCATGTAGATTAAGGCATTAATATGTGCTTAATTACTATGAATAAACGGCTAATATTCTAGTAATATGCTTGCTAATAAGCAAGTAGTTAAGAGACCCTCAAAGAAGTGTTACCATATATATATATATATATATATATGATTTGGCAGTTTAACACATCAATTTGGCATGATTAATGTTGGAGCTTGAGGTAGATCTATTGTCATAGATCAAAATAATTGTCTTAAATCTCTCTATTAATGCGATTTTACTTTCAGAACCTGGCTGTTGCACTCTGTAGGCAGAAAAAAGAAGATAAATATGCTGGGAAAGAAACAGAAGATGAAGAAAAGATCTCAGTAGGGATGCTGCCAAGCAGGTGGAGGAGAAGAGGGATGGAAGGAAGGAAAGAAGTAGAATATCAGATTTGTTAGTTACTAACAGTGATCTCAGCCGTGCACTGTGGACAGCGCTGCCCTCTTACCGCCTCCTGAGACTGAGATTTACTCATGATGGCCAACAGCGTCTGTAACAACACATCCAACAAACTCTCCACCATCATCTCTACCTCCTCCTGCACAGAGCTCTCCTGCAGATGGGAAACAAGGAACATTGTCTCTTTAACCAAAGTCATCAATGGGATGTTCAGAGTTTTGATGAGATGCACATTGACCGACGTGTACCAATGAGCTGCTCTTAATAATGGAGAAAATGCTGCTCAGGATTCCTGAGCAGATCAGAAGCTCCTTCTGTTGGCGCAGATGCAGATGAATGTGATGGAGAACAACAGGAAGGAGAATTCTCCTTGATTCTGTGCAAACAGACAGAGGGAGGTTATTAACTTAATTCACCTGATTAAGATTTCAGACATTTACACTGTCATAGAACATGTGCAAAAATTAGTACAACAGTTTGTCACTGGGGTAGTACCCCTAAAAGGGAAAACTTTGTAGCTTATCTAAGCATAAAAGGTGCATATTAGTACCTTAGGGTAGTAATATGTACTGTACCCTTAAAGTACTTCTAGGGGCAAATGAGAGTACTTTGAGAGTACTGCCCCAGTGACAAGCTGTTGTACCTCTAAAAGGAACAATTTTGCACATTAGAGAGTGAAACTAATTTTGAAATACCTGGAAAAGAGAAAAGCCTGCTATCCACTGTCCGAGCAATGGACTGCAGCTTGACCACATCCATGGACTGACCGATGTGGACTGTACTAGGCATGCTACCCAGAGTTCCCCTCACAAACTCTGCCACTTCCTGTACTGTGAACATCTGGAGGAGCTCGTCAAAAATAGCTGGGAACGAGTTGAGTAGGGCAGCCTGAAAAAATCGGAAGAGACCAGAGAAAGAATGGTTTACATTTGCAATTTGGTCATTATTTGTGTTCCCCTTCAGATAAAACAAGATGTGATGGGCCTGTTGACCAAAGATGGGATGGACATCACCTACACAGCAAGAGATGAAGTAACAGAGAGGCTTCATCAGCACCTCATGGTTACTTGGTAGATTAGAGATTCAGTCAATTAAAATGTTTAAGAAGATGCCAAACAAGATGCTACCTTCTGGAGACCCACTGTGCGACAGAGTTTAGCTCAAACACTAATCAAACTAAACCACCTAACCCAACTTAAACTTGACAGTTACAGGCAGGTGGGTTGGAGTAGGTTGGTACTAAACTTTGCAGGCTAGTGCATCTCTGGGAGCAGGGTTGAAGACCTCTATATAGTCACGGTCATAGTCAAAAACATTGGCCTTGGCTATTCCTTAATTCAAAGGTCCATTACATCTCTTGCTTCTGAGGACTTCTCTTCCCCACTTTGCTCAACAGCCCAATGGTACAATCCATTGCAGGCAAAGTGATCTCTGGTCCCCGGTTCAACGCCACTCAAGAGGTGAAAAATGGGGGTGTTTGGAAGGACTTGACTTTGTGCAGGAGAAGATTTGGTGTCAAACACAGCAATCAAAGCCAAGAAACACATCAAAGAACCCAGCGGAAGATGCACTGGAAGCATTGCGGAGCAATTGTTGGTGTTGGTCAGTTTGTTTGGGTTGTTGGTTCATTGTTGAGGTCTGGTGTTCTGAAAGGTACTGAGTGGTTGTATGTGATGGTAGATGTTTTGGGCTTTGGCATTGGGTTGGGTTGTGAGGGAGTCTCCGTTCCATTACTGTGGGGCAATTCAACAAGCTGCATCTACTTACAGACAGCGGAGAGGGCCGTGGGGCATTGCAGCTAAACGGCTGCAAGCAGTTGCCCTGGTTGGTGGTGGCTTGTCCTGTAGTTGGCTGGGGACCCTAGGGGGCACAGTGAGGTTGGGCAGGATTGGGTCAAGATACGGGGCAGGGATGGGAAAAGTCCACAAAGGTATAATATGGGACAATTCAGGAAAATATTAAGTCACCAAAAACCAAAGAAGACTAAATCTTCATCAAACTATTTGTTCAAGAATTGTGGGTAGGATGGTCCGTAATGTGTCCAGACATTGATTAATAAAAGTATAGCCACATGTTTTTTTACTTTTTAAAAAAAAAAAAAATTATCTCAAGGTTCCTGGTGGATTCAGAATTAAATGATGCTTTGGTGGAGGCACATACTGTATGATAAAATATGGTGGTGACAGAAAAAGCCATGTGGAAGAAAAGCTTTGTGAAAGTGTGCAAACATAACCTAACATACATGTACCTTGAACATAATCCATAATTCCACATTTTAAACATGAACAGAGAAATAAATGTCACATTTTCCTGTACAAACACTACCTATAACTAAACGAAAGTAATAAATTATATCATTCTACAAACCTCAAACCACATAAACTGTCCCACATTGTTTGTGTTGAGGAACTGAGTGATACTTTAGGGCCTTTCGCACCGCAGGAACCTTTTCATAGTACCAGAACTAATTGTGGAACTACCCACTTTTCGGCGTGTTCGCACCGCCGGAACTGGGAGCGATTTTAGTCCCGGACTGCCTTTTTCGAGAACCAAATTAGCTCCTACTCCGGAGCAGGGTCTAACCAGCACAACTGGTACTAATCGTGACGCAAGTAGACATTGATTGGCCAAACGCGTATGAAAATGCCCTCACCCGCCATGATTTAAAACTCCGGGTAAACATACTGTAAGCATGTCAACTTATTTCGCAAGTATGGAGAACAGCGATAGATGGACGGACGCTGAAGTGAAGGCACTTATAGCAAATGTAGCACTGCCAGTTGTCGTTGGAGATTCTTAGTCCTCCTTCCCGTTCTTTCAATCGCTTTACGTATACGTCGACTTTCCATGTCCATTATTGTGAAACCCGCGAGACACAACAAAACACAGCTCCGATCACAGCGTCCTCCATCCTCCTGTTGTTAATGTTCTTCTTTGTTTCTGTTGTTGAACGCCGTGCACAAATGACGTCGCTGTCGACCGGCTTACGTCACTTCTTAGTACACACTGTCGGTGCGAATGCAGCCCTTTAAATGGTACTGGACAATAGTTCGTGCAAAATCGTCCAAGTACTTTAGTACGGTACGTTTAGTTCTGGAAGTAAAGCGGTGCGAAAGGGCCTTTTGTAAGCCTTACTGAGGGGAACTATTACCTTGTGAACAATAAAACATACAGTATCTAGGGGTTAGAATATCATAGTAACTTGGGGGAGAGAAGAACTAGTTTGCCAACTAGAAAAGCTGTTACCAACAATCCAAAACATCCTTGCAATGGCAACCTAAAGCAATGGGTTTAAACCACTCAGAAAACCTCAGAAATCACATAGATTCCTAACAACCTAGCATCATAGCAGCAAGTACCAAATATCTTCAGACAATGCAAAGATCTAGTGACAAATGATACTACAGTCTCTCAAGAACTTGTTTGGTGGCTTCAGTGTCATGAAGTTCTAATCTTGAGTTCTTCAAATTTGAGACCTTCAGAACATTTCTCATAGAAATGTTAGAGCAGATAGAGCAGATATCTTTACTTAAACATACTCCTGCAGCCTTCAGGGAAAACCTTGTTTTATCTGATCGCAATTTTCACAGGATTTTTCTTGAGATGGGGCTGTCTAAACAGCTTAGACGTACAACTTCTTTAGGGCAGAGAGAGACAGATGCATTAATCTCATAGAACATTAAACAAACCTGGGCCTCAAGGAAACAGCTTTAATCTTGGGTCAAAAACCATGGATTTGGAGAACAGCAACTCGTCACAAATGATCCTTTCATTTTTAAACACATTAGACCACCTTGATCGTTTGTTCTCTTCGCTTAATTCCTCAATTTAAACCAGCGTGAGGTATAAATTAATAAAATCATTAATACAAAAGTGCACATTAAATCCCACTCCTAGCAATTTTAGGCTTTTTATTTTTGACACAGTACTTCTCATATATCAGATGGTTCATTTAGGTAGTATCTCCTCACAAATGTAAATTCTCATAAACATGAAATGTGAACAGTTCTTGAGTTTATATCTGACCTGGGTGAAAATGAGCGTCTCAGAGCTGCGGCTGTCCAGACTGAGCACGAAACGGATGGATTGGAAAAGCTCCTGGATGCTAGCCCGAAATTGGTCCTCCTCCATCCCACAGGTGGCCCGGGAGTAGAGGATCCGTGACTGGACGATGAATTTAAACAGGTACTCTAGAGCCTGGAGGTAGATTTACAGTATCTGCAAGTATCCAAGCTTTTCAACATTTATGCTATAAAATGTCTTTAAAACACTCCAAGTACAATAAATACAGACAATCCCTGTGCTTGTACCTTGAAGACAAAAGTTCACAATTGTAATATTCACTATGGGAAATTTGTACTTAACTAAATACATCACATTTCCATAAAAAAAAAAACTTTTTTTCTTCTTCATACAATTTAAATTGTACTGAGTAGTTTTTTTTTTTTTTTTAAGTCAAAGAAAAGAGTTCTAAATAGTATAATGATTAAATGGATGGCTTTGCACAGTTTGTGCATCAAAGTCTCCACTGGTTTTCATCAGCCAATTTCAAAAGCTAAGATAAATGGTTTTACTTCTAAATACTTGAGTACAATTAAAAGTGGAAACTATTCTAACTTTCACTCAAGTATGTGTTCGGCAAGATACTTTTGAAAATTTTGACGCAGCACCCACACTTTAACTGAATTATAATTTCTCTGTACTTTTACAGTTCTTGACATATTAATATGAGGGTACTGTCAGCACCAAAATGAATCACCAATCAAACCAGCAATGGCAATACATCTCAACAAAAACCATACAGTGAGTGAATAGGACATATTGAAAACATTTGCTTCAGCTAGTTATCTGTAAAGGTCCTTTGAGGACTGCACTGAAACTTCTTATGTAAATGCATTATTTATTCTAGTTCCTTTTAAAGCTGAATCAGTTTATTTGATAGTGGCTGGCATATGCTTTTATGTGATTTTTTTTGTTCTGTTTGTGTGGTTATACTTTAAATACTTAGTCAAATCAAGGAGATCTCACCCTCATGGCTTCCTGGATGTGATCCTGTCGAACAACTTCTGCTGATCGGTCCATATACCACTTCAGACAGCGAATCAACTCTCTGAATTTGAAATTAAACATCTAGTTATACCATATTCAGATTCAAAATCTTAAAAAATTATCCTGTGAAAATAGATGGAATTACTTATAAGCCAGTGCTCCAGCAAAATGCTTCTGGATGTATGTGTCCATCACAGGACGGAAGTGATAAAACTTACTGTCCCTAAGCAGATTGATGATGAACACCTGGACAGAGATGGAAAGCAGGTCAGGTCCAACTTTCTGACTGATGTTGAAAATATCAGTATGCATCAGTGTTATTTTAGTATGATTGAGATACTTTTTTTTTTATTTTTAAAAATACTTTTGACTTTTAGATATTTTAGTAAATCGAATGCAAGGAATAGTTCAGCCCCCCCCCCCCCCCCCCCCCCTACAAAAAAAAAAAAAAAAACAAGAGAAAATGTTTTTTTTTTCTAAAAAATTATCCTGTGAAAATAGATGGAATTACTTATAAGCCAGTGCTCCAGCAAAATGCTTCTGGATGTATGTGTCCATCACAGGACGGAAGTGATAAAACTTACTGTCCCTAAGCAGATTGATGATGAACACCTGGACAGAGATGGAAAGCAGGTCAGATCCAACTTTCTGACTGATGTTGAAAATATCAGTATGCATCAGTGTTATTTTAGTATCATTGAGATACTTTTTTTTTTAAGTATTTAATTTTAAAAAATACTTTTGACTTTTAGATATTTTAGTAAATCGAACGCAAGGAATAGTTCATACTCCCTCACACAACACCCCTCGCCC